ACTCCAACAAAATCCCAGTAAAGACAAAGCTGTCAATCTTAAAAGACCGTTAAATAATTCAAGCGATCTTTCCACTGACGACGATACACTCCCTGACGGTTTTATCAAGGTTAAGACCGACACGACAGGCTTTCCTCCTCTCCCTCCACCAAAATCGCAGTCTGGAACGTCTCGTTCAACTGCAAGCGACTCGAATAAACAGCCTGTGCCTAATCTATCGGTTACTTCTTCGCCTTCGACATCTCAGGTATCAGAAGACACGACTGCACAGCCCCCACGCAAGGTACGTGTTACCCCCATCGTTCTTCGCGATGATTTGAGATGGCGAGGCGTAAATCACAAGTTTATTTCTTTGGGCATCAAATTCGAACGCGCGGTTGCCGTCGATGCAGGAATCAGGATAATTCCCAAGTCCGAAGATGATTACCGCAGAATTATTCGTCTCTTCAGAGAGGAAGAGGTGCCCCATCACACTTTCCCTCTGCCCTCGTAGAGGAACATTCATGCTGTAATCAGGGGAGTACCTGCGACACTTTCGGAAACGGAGATCAAGGAAGAGTTGCAACAGAGGGGATATTCCCCCCTGCACATAATTCGCCTGAAACGCGGTGGCGGCGTGCCCGTGCCTTTGGTGGTAGTCATACTGCCCAAGATAGAAACATCTCAGCAGCTGTTCAACGAACATGAGCTGCTAGGTTTGGCTATCCGAGTCGAAGTTCAAAAGAACTCAAGACTCATTGGGCAGTGTCACCGCTGCCAAAAATATGGACATGCGCAATCTTACTGCACTGCACCACCTAAGTGTCTAAAATGTGCTTCTGACCACATGACCCACTTATGCCCTCAAACAGAACAAGAGGAACGAAAGTGCTCAAACTGTGGAGGGGTGCATCCAGCGGATAGCCGAAGTTGCAGATTTGCCCCTAAGAAAAAATGTGCAAGTGATAGCGCAAAGGCGCAATGTAAGTTACGCGGATGCAGCTAGGGATGCAACCCGGGCTGCCCCCTCTGTGGGATCTTCTGCGATCACGCAAAATGTGGACCTGGCAACCGCGCTAAGGTCCTTACAGCAGATCATAGGTCGTCTGATTAGCGCAACACAGGCTTTGCAGGCGATCTTTCCTGCAAGTGGCTAGGTACAATCGACGACAGCCTGCATTTATCAAAATTCTTTTTTGGAATTGTTTAGGCTTAAGGGACATTCCCAAAAACCGGGAATTTCATCAAGCTCTTGTGGATGAAAGTGTAGATGTGGCCTTGCTGCAGGAAAAATTACTTAATCCGGGAGATCGTCTAGCTTTCCCGAATTACGATGTTATCCGGGCTGATAGATTGACTGGACGGGGTGGCGGCTTGGCAGTGCTAGTGAAACGCGGTATTGACTACCACAGAAGCACAAACGCTGACATGCAGAGCATCGAAGCGGCTTCCGTGGTGGTCAATCTGACGGGAGGTGGGCCGTTAAAAATCACATCAGTGTATGTCAGGTGTGGTATCAGGCTGCAAGAGGCGGATCTGGAATTCCTTTTAGACTGCTCGGGTCCGCTTATCGTGACAGGGGACTTCAACTGCAAACATCGAGCATGGCATTCTAGGTTGAATTCCACCAGTGGGATCCGACTGTACAACCATGTGATACGAAATGGCTACCTCATACATAGTACTGAGGAGCCGACGCACCACCCATTTAATCACCTTCAGGCACCTGATGTTCTTGATTTTGCATTATCCAAAAACTGTAGATACAGTATCACTTCACGAATCAGGTATGACATCTCAAGCGATCATCTTCCCGTCGTTTTGGAAGTGGGTAATGAGCAGATCTTGGGGGATGAAACCCCTCCAAGGAAACGTATTGATTGGGAGCTATTCAAGTCGCTCCTCAGAGAGTTCCCCAATATTCCGATCATAGATGATGAGAACGGTATAGATGCGGCTCAAGCAGAGTGGACAAGTTTTGTTCAGCAAGCTCCGCAGCGTGCAGCTGTACTTCCCATGCAGCGGCACGGCAGACCTTTTCTGCCAGCAGACATTCGTCAGAAAATTTCTGATAAAAGGGCTGCAATTAAGCAAGCGAAAAGGTCTTGTCATCCTGATGACATTCGCAGAGCGACGAATCTTGTTCATGAAGTAAGAAATGCTCTTCATGAATTCCGCAATGAGCAATGGAACGACTTTCTGGCGGGGATGCTTGACTCAAGCATTCCTCTCTGGAAGGTGGCGAAGTCGCTCAAAAACGGAAAGCGTGAACAAATCCCACACATTCACGGTCATGGAGGCATTGTCTTCATGACAGAGGAGAAGTTTGAGGTTTTCCCCGATGCCATGGAAAGACAGTTCTCTCCCAACTATGATCTTGATAATGACCTCGACGAGGAGCAACACATCGTAAGATCTGTCAGGAGATATTTTAGGGCCAACGCCGTCAGTGACATTCGTGCTATCGTTGGTGATTTTTCTTCATCAGAATATTCTTCTTCAGAAGCTTCTTCAACCTAAGATCTGCTTAGCACATCAGCGGCATCTCCTGAGATCCCGCATTGCACACCAGCAGAGATTCAAGGTCATATTAAAGACCTTAAAGTGCGTAAAGCACCTGGGGAGGATCAAATCACTAATAAGGCGCTGAAGCTGCTTTCGCGGAAGTCCTTAGCTTATCTCGTGGCAATAGTCAATCCAGTCCTTCCCATCCGCGTGGAAGACCGCTGAAGTTATAATGATTCCAAAGAAGGTGGGTTCGATATTTCCCCAGGATTACCGTCCCATTAGCCTGCTGTCAGCTCCATCTAAGCTCGCTGAAAAGGTGATTCTGACGTGCAATTCGGTTTTCGGTCTGAACATAGTACAGAGCTACAGGCGGTTAGGCTGGAGGAACGTGTAACCAGAGGATTCACCCATAACGAAAGTACAGGCATCTTGGTTTTGGATGTCTCAAAAGCATTTGACAAGGTGTGGTACGCGGGCCTCTTGTATAAACTAATAGAAAAGGGCTTCCCTTTTTGGCTTCTAAAACTACTGAAATCCTTCCTTGAAGGTAGGAAATTTCGGATCAAAATTGACAATGTCCTGTCGACAACACGGCTGATTACAGCCGGCGTCCCTCAGGGTTCGGTCCTTGGACCTATCCTTTACTCACTGTACATCCATGACGTCCCTTGTCCCAGCAACTGTGAAGTCTATCTCTATGCCGACGATACTGCATTGGTGGCTCAGTCGTGGTCTGGTGACCTAGTCCATGACAGGCTGCAAAGTGCGGTGGAATAAGTATTAGATTGGGCGGATCGGTGGCTAATTAAAATAAACCATTCGAAAACGCAGGCAGTACAAAAAGACGTCGCGGCGTTCCGTCTGAAGTTTCAATGAATGGACTTCGTATACCATGGGAATCCTCCGCTAAGTATCTCGGTGTCATTCTGGACAAAGGGATGACTTGGCGGAACCATATAGAAGCGCTAAAAACTAAATTCCAAATTACGTTTCGACAGCTTTACCCATTGTTATGTAAACGTTCAAAATTAAGTTTGATTAACAAGATTCGACTCTATAAGGTGGTCATAAGACCATCAATGACTTACGCATGTGCGGCTTGGTGTTTTATTGCTAAAACACACATGCGAAATCTGCAGGTTCTGCAAAGCAGGACGTTGCGCACTATTGCTGATGCCCGATGGTATGTCTCTAACGAAACTCTACATAGAGACCTCGCTAAAGGACTACATTAAGCAACAGGCGCAGCGGCGCTATAGCCTAGCGGAATCGCACAGCAATACTCTGTTACGTGAGTCAGTGGACTACACAGTCGAGCAAGTTCGCAAGCACAAAAGGCCGCGGCTCGCACTGTAATCAAAATTAACTCGTGAACAACCAAAATTGGAGCATTTTGACAAAATCTTTAGAAAAAATCGAATATTTTTAGACCATATCAAAATCTGTGAAGTGATTTTAACAATGCCTAAACGCTGCCTATCCTAAAAGATCCTCTTCTTCCCCTTTGCTCTCGTTCTTCCTTCTCTTCTTTCCTTCCCTTTTTTCCTTAAAATTGTCTGGTTTCTGGGTTACCAGACCTGACAGACTTACAAACTGACACTGTGACTCAAGAGCTAAAGGTCCCACGGACCGCTCTGACAATCAACGATGACTTGAGATGAAGGTAGAGGAATATGAAAAATGCCAAATGGTCCACCGAGGCGTACCACAGAGCGTCAAGATAGGCGCTTCAGACAACTAGCCCTACGAGACCGTTTTGCTACTGCGCCTCAGATCGCTGACCAATGGTGTGGGTAGAAGAAGGTAGAATTATTACTATGCGTACACTCTATCGCCGCATTCGAGCCTTGGGACTTTTTTATACCGTCCACGATTAGTGTTTTCTCTCACTGTGGACCATTGTCATCAACATTTGAACTGGAGGCAAAATGGCATAATGTCATCTTCAGCGACGAAAGGTGCTCACACAAAAGTTTCTTGATTTAAATAAAAAATTAACTTATTAATTAACTATTATATTTTTGTAAGTTTTGCGAGAATCAGTTTCAACTTCATTTTTTTAATAGCAACCCCTATATGTTTTTACATTTTCGGGTTCTCCACCTAATTTGAAATACATTTTGTTTTTGAACAATCGATTTCTTTTCTTTTATTTCATTTAATTTACGCGCACGTTATGCGTTTTGAAGATTTCTCTTCGTGTAGGTCGCGCATGTGCGGTATCCAACCGAGGGCAACCATATTACAAGAAGTAATACTTCAGAGCTACGTACCGCTTGCATCTGCAACTTAAAATTAAGTTCTTCAAAACTGGTTTATTCGTCAATGAGATGTAGTCCAAATTGTGTGACTCACGAGGTTTTTGAAATGTCTAATTCATTTAAACCTTATAGCTTTAATTTTGAAACTGTTATCTATTGTTTATATTGACGTACATGGATGCAAGCCGGGTTACCATCAATGATATTACACTGGCTTATTTTTATTTCCAAGTAAAATACGTTGTTTTACAGACATGCTCTTCAGGCGAACCAGGAGCTGATGCAGACTGCTACGCAAAATGTGTCTCGTTCTAACTTGTTAGATGACATGCACAGCAATGCGAGTAGTTGTCCAAGTACTTTCAGTGATACTGATACGGGATGTGAGGCAGTCACGGACAAAACTTTCGATGAAAACCACGAGAGCGGGAAGGTTGTCAGTTCCGCGAGTGGTAAGTTCCACTTCATTCTTACATTTCCACTAGAAAATTGAATCATTCTGATATACTTTCATACATCTTAATAACTTACAACTTCAATTAGTTAACGCGGTATTTTTCTATTTCAGAAGTGATACATACAGACGTGGTTGACCATACGACAGAATCTACGGGCATTACTCTTCGTAACCACAAATGTTTAGGAAATGAAAAATTATCGGAGCCTGACGTTCCAGTGCATCAAAAGGTAGATTGCAATCAGAATGGCGTTACAAACTATGATAGTGCAATGGGAAGGAGTGGAGAAAAAGCTGATTATAATAATAGCAAAAATTATTCGGAAAAGTAAGCAACATATTTTTCATACAATACTTTCGCTTAATTTCAAATGATGCTTTTTTGAGTAACAAGTATCAATGAATAATAATAATTCAGGGTATAGTAAAACTAGATCTCCTCATGCAAATGTTTTTATACTGATGCAGTCGCGTTAGCAGAACCTAAATACTGATGCACCGCGACTGCTATACGGCGAATAATCCTGTTGATCCAAAATGAACTGGTCAGGGCTATAAGAACTGGCAAAAACATCCACAGGCAGATCGTTCTACAATCTCGATACCCCAGGAACAAGGATCCGACTGTAGCGGCTAGTTCCGGACATACGAAGTTCAACAGAGTTAGAGGTTGCGAGTCAGAAGCCTGGCGGATCCGTCTGGCAGGCCCAACGCGCGGTAGCATCAGGGAGGAGAACTCTGAGGAGCAACGTCCGCACGGGTATCATGTAAAAAACCAATTAAACGTCAAAAAAACTTATAAGATGTCAACTTGCAGAGTAGGTAGTTTTTAGGGCGCAAACAGTCATTCCACGTTTGCTCACTAGGATCGTTGTGAACGTCGATCTATGGAGGAATCACTCAACTAAACTTCGCATTATTGGTTGCATAGTTGTATGCGGCTGAGTGATCCGGGTCTGTAGTTTTTATCTCTGAGAAGAAAGTTGGTTGAATAGCAAGATCGCATCTGGATGATTATGTGTATTGGTCTGCATGTGTATAAAATCAGTGGTAATTGCTGTGTGAGAAAATCATTACTGAATATACCGAATATGACGGGTTATTTATACGTTGTGCTTTCTGAAGAGAGGTTATGTCCAAAGTTTTTAAATTACGAAAAACTGAGGAGAATTACGGGAAATCATCACCGCACCCGCGTTTTGTGTAATTACTGTATATGGTTTGTAATTCGACAGTGTACAGTGGATATAATTATTTCTTACCTCTCTCATTTTTGAAATTCAGCAAATTTGTATATGTAATTTCCAGAATGGATAAGAAAAAGTGGATGCGCAACTAATTTCTAGCTTTGAATCTCAATTAAGTATATTTGAGACAAGAACTCAATGTAATTATCATTAACACATACAACTTACAGCTTAGACCTCCAGTAATGCCATCTCAGGAGCAGATTTTACATCACATCAGAGCCAAAGATTGATAACAAGCCTCATGACGTTTAAGCAACCCGTACAACTAAGTGCTAAGTTAACATCTTGTAGAATAACCTACATAATGTCAAAAAAACAGCATAATGTCAAAAACAATCGGCATAATGTCACTTTTCAAGATACGTTATACCCGTGCCGGCCGGTGATATAGAGGTAAAAGAGAGTGAGATAGCTGACCGCCAGTGAAGTGGCACCGTTCAGTCAGACAGCCCTCCTGTTAACAGCATAAACGAAGAACAGTGGCGGCGCCCCGTACATATGTGAGCGGTACTTGAGACTGTCTTATCTCGGACTTTTACACAATGAGGAGATCATGTGGAGCAAAGTACTTCTTAGCTCTAAACAAATAACACAACTTTTTTCAGCAACTGTCGTAATTTACGAGATTGATAAGTTCAGCACTGTCTTCTAGAAGTTGCAACAGATTGTTGTCCCCAAGCAGTGATAACTTCCAGGTCTCTCGTCAGAGGAGAAGTTCCTATTAGTCTTATTCTATCCAGCTCATTGGCAGATATCAGCTTGGTGTACTGATGGACTGCTGCCTGCATATATAGTGTTTTTATCACAAAAGCTGTAGATCGGATTGATCGTACAGAAGAGGAGGTCGTTGATATGTAACAGAAATAGTGTTGGAGCCAAGATAGATCCCTGGGAAACACTCGCTTTCATATTGTGGGATGAAGACTGCAATTGCGGAATACTTTGTTGTATTTGTTTCTAGACTCATCAGCTTGACTGCTCTCAAACATAGAATTCTCTGGAAAGGTTCGGCGAGTCTTCATCTTGTGTGAGCTGTATCATACGATCTGTCGAACCAACCGTTAGACCCGGGTTTTACCGTTTCACTGTATGAGGGATGTACTCCTCCATCCCAATACGCATAACTTGAATTATTGTCAAACAGATAGCCGACACACCCGATCCGTATATATGTTAAATTTTACGGGCTTGGATGAGTTTTCGTGGCAACAGCCGGTTGTAAATATTTACTTAATTACATTATCTTCCAAAACAAAGAAATTAATGATGATGGATCCCTCGAGTACTAAGAATTCCGGACGTAAACTCACTCCACTCTTGGAATGTCCGGGTGGAGGGTGGATTCGAGGGAACAACATCGAAGATAAAATTTGTTTCACGAAAATCTGCGGGAATTAAGAGCAACATCGATGCTACTCATCGCTACCTGCAATCCAGTCGTCCCGCCATGCTTTTCTTGGCGGACACAAAAATCTGCACCGATTAACCATCTTAGCTTCCCAAATTACGAGGTGCACTCCAATCTGAGAAAGAACGGTGGAGTTGTGGCCTTTGTCCGCAGCAGTCTTTCCTGCTCCAGAGATGTTTCTTTGGAATGAGACCGGACGGACATTCTGTGGCTTCGCCTCAACTCCAAAACACCCCACAAATTCGTATTTGCTGCCTTTATCGCTCTCCCTCGGACCGTAACTAGGATGACCTACTTGAATACCTCGCCGTCAAGATCGCCTTCCTGAACATCAATCACCCCGCTTCAGAGGTAGTTCTCGGTGATTTCAATGCTCATAATGAGCTTTGGTTGGGATCAAACAAGACCGATGTAGCAGGTCGTGCAGTTGAAGCGTTCGCTCTTACTCAAGGGCTGACCCAGCTGGGGACGATCCCTACTTTTTCCCCACGTCTCATCACATGCCAGTAGCCTGCTGGATCTCTTTCTGACCACGCATCCTGTTCCTTATAGCACTGCTGTCCTGTCCCCCCTGGATAACTCAGACCACGGTGTTGTGGAGGTTAGGTTTCGGTCAGAACCGTTACCACCGAGAGTACAAGGCCTAACAGACGCGTGACGTCACCACGAGTAGGCCGGTCGGCCGGCCGACAGCACGGCGTGCCGTACATCAGCGCTAGTGAATAATATATTATTGCAGCATATTTAATATACTCTACCTGATGTAAATAACAAATAATTCAGAAAAGTGTTTTTGGTACATGAAGGCAACTTGGTGGAAAATATTAAAGTAGTTATTAACTATTTTCACCCTGATTCTCACTGATATTTCATCCAACATTACGTGCACATTAGATTAATAAGTTGATGTTATAAAAGCTTGTTAAAAATGATAAATTCTTCAATGAATAATCCCATGTTAGTCACAACCGATCAACAAAATTTCACAGGAATATGTGGACAATTTACTATTATTAGAGGTATAATATAATGCTACTTGAAAGTTATATAAAAAATGTAGTGCTTGTAGAACAGTTGTGTCCAGCAAGAACCAACGAGGAGGTCTGCGGTAAGCTCTTGCCAGGGAAGGAATAAGGAAGATGAGGAGGAAAAAGTGTAGGATAAATCATAAGAAAAACAGATAAAATCAAAGTAAAATAAACAACAGAAAAAACATAACGATTAAAGAAAACCTAATAAAAACTCTTAGAACAAACAGCACAAAATAACAACATAAATTAGAAAACAAAACAAGTATAAAAAATAACAAAAATTAGAATAACGAAAATTAAAGTGCTAAATTCTGAATATGTACAAATAAACATTTATCTACAGCTATGTAAATGTTGCGGCCTCATGTGAATGTAGTCAAATTACGTTTCTTTGCTTTATTCGCGCTTGCAAAGCTGTCGTTCCTTTTGGCGCAATAATTTTTCAAAAATGTATTGACTGTGCAAATAACAATTAGTTTTATAACATAATCTGGTGAATGGACTGTGCAACGCGAAAATGAAGTGTCGTGATTATTATCACTCAGATTGTTAATTATCAACTGAGAAAGAGCGCGTCTCTTATCAGTGATTTCTAAAAATGATTCCTCTTTACTTTCCAAAACTTTATTGAAAATTATATAACTTAGCATGACAATATTAATAATTGGATCCTTTAGGAATTTTAAGCCACCTCAACTCAAATTTTGTATAATATTGTGCTTGTCTTCTATATCAATATCATCTGCGTGTGTCAAATTTTCCTTAGAATGATCGCAGTGATTTTTCTTTAATAAGGCATAACAACAGTAACCAGCTAAGTAGGTGATGACAGGGATTTCATCCTTTATACTATCAATATCAGACTGTAAAATTTCAATTTCCCGGAAAAAGTGGTTTATCATTAAAATTGTGTGGAATTTCATCTATTTCTAAATCATCATTTTCACAGAATTTATCTATTTGTATATCACGATAGCGAGACTTCAATGACATCAGGCTTTGAGTTCGTATTTTTTTCTCAGATTCATATAACTGACAAATTGATATATTATATTGACCCCCTGCAAGTTGACGATACTTACCAAATCTATTTTCCAATGAGTCAGTTTGATATTTACCTAACAATATATAATTACTGTGCAGTTCAGATTTGCAGTACCTTACTAACTCCAATAAGCCATATACTGTATGATGTAGTGACTAGTTAGTCTTTTTGAAAATTTTGCTGGATCATTCCACTCTTCTAGCCAATCTAGCATTTTTTGCAAGAATGTCAGCTTACTGTCATCACCTTGTCCATCAATTGGAGCAAACAATAGGCTCTGCATAAAGGTCAGTTAACCGCTTTCCTTTCAATGGACTTTTTACATTGACAATTCTCCACCACTTCCATATAATATCAATGAATTTTGATGTCTCTTCGGAGTGCTGTATGTTTTTACCAAACCTTGATACTGCAACTATTACAAATGGGTTGAATATCTTGAGAGCTAAATGAACATTTTGTCTTTCAAGGTTGGTAGGATATAAAGCTTTTAGGGTCAAACCATAACCATTTTTCAATCATTTTATGACTTTCCATTTGGTACAATGTTTTAAGAGATTTAAATGAAGCAACATTTACCTCATGTGTTTCAAAATCTGGGTATGTTAAAATTTGGTCTGGTTTTGAATTCAGCCAATTATTTCGGATACATTTTAGAAGGTGCACTGTATCAAAAAGGAAGAATAGGGGACGCTTTACTATTCAGTGCATTATTATCACTTACAACACAAAACATTTTATAACCAAGTTCTTCTAATCCAATAATAAGTTTTTTTGTTATATTGTATAATAGATTATGATCAATTTTAGAAACAGGACAGATTTGAACAACTTCTTTGAAATTGGAGTAGAAGCTTGAAATCATAAACACATATGCTGTTGTAGCTAATGAAGTATTATTAATTGACGTTCCAGCAATATTACCCCCTTTGAAATCTAAATATGGCTGAATGTGTATTTCATCCATCAATAAAATCATGTACTCCTCACCAGGTTTTACAAATCTGAAAAGGTTTTTTGCATAGCCTAAAAAGTTATATCTCTCATCGGGAACTGGATCGACCATCAATGTATTACATATTGACTTCAGAGTATTTTGGTGTGGTAAAATAAGTGCTCCATGGCTCCAAATAAATCTATATGAATGTGGACTGTTTGTATACAACATAGAGCAAAACACTATTGGTTCTGATGAGTAACTGTGTCTGTTCTTCTGACTAATAGCAAGCTTTAGTTGCTCACAAATAAATTGAATGACAGTGTGGGTCTCTTCATCGGTGAATAGTTCTGTGCTATTTAAAATATTGTAAGCATGGTTGATAGTGGCTCTGAATTGGTCTTTACCTGAATATTCCCTCGAAGCATCTGCATTCTCAGAAAGAACATGCAGAACATCATCCAAGTGGTGTATATTAGATAATAAAGATGGAGTTTTAATATTACCTGAGTTGAGAAACAATTCTTGGGAGTACATATACGTTTTTACATTGAGATCTTTATCAACAATTACAGAGTGAGTTATGATGGGTGCTGGTTTATATTCTAACTTAAACAAAGCAACTTTATCCTGAACAATTTTATGCCACCAATATGGACATTGCCATGAACTGAAAACTGTGAGTAAGTCTGAATAATTTTGAAAACAAGTTGATTTTTGATAGGAGGAATAATCATCAATGCTAGTTTGCAGTGCTTTAAGTAGTTGTTCTTGTTCCTTGTCCCTCAATTTCTCATCTCGGCTTCTTCTGCTTTGAAAGGTATTTTGGACAATTTGCAATGATACTTGGAATTACATCTGCCTTTAATTTTGGATACTTAAGGGGTACAGTAATGGTCCTACCTGTCTTTTCGTCATGGAAGGTGGATTCCCAAATGATGCTGTCCTCAGCAAAGTGCAAATTACATACTCGGGTGTATTTTGTAACCACTAAATCACTACGAGGGATTGCATTGAGGCATCTTTTACGACAGTTTTCGTTCAATGGAAACGAAAATACGTGTACCTTCGGACCCTTCCCGTAATTACCGACACAATTAGGAACGCAGCACTTGTAAGGCATTTTGAAAACTTAACTAAACAATCGCGAGACACAAATATAAGTTTAAAACATCAATAATTTTCCGTTTACATAGCATTGAAAGATGAGGCTCAGAATGTGAGGTTAGTTGGCAAGGTTGCCACATCTTCCAATTTTTAATGGAATCTTAGACTTCACAGTGACAGATTGAACGTAATATGGAAAATGTATTATTGACATACTGAGGCAGATCAGAAAGAATAATCACATCATCACTGAAGCTGCGCAGGCCCCGAGTACATCTTGCAAATTCGCCCACAGAGAGGTACAACTAATTAGTAGAGATTTCGATACTGCTATATCAAACCTAGATATGACAACACCTCAGAGAAATGGTGGCGCGGTTCTCTTGCCAGCCAGTCATAAGAACATGCATAGACCTACTCTGCGTGACGTCACAGGCTTTTCAGAGCCCAGTTGTTTGGCCTTGTACTCTCGGTGGTAACGTCAGAACCCGCTTTTGCAGCATAAACTCGCACATGCCGCAAAATTTGGCATTACGGACATGCCGACTGGGAGGGGCTGAGAGACTTCTCTACCTTTCCTTGGAGATATGTCTGTTTCACTGACGCGGGTGCGTCGGCTGTCTGTGCTTCGATAACAGAAATTATCCACGTCGGAATGGAGGAATACATCCCTCATACAGTGAAATTGCCTAAACCAGGGTCCAATGGCTGGTTTAACAAATCGTGTGACACTGCTCGCCAGCAGAAGATCAAGGCACACAGAACCTTCTTACAAAACCTCTCTGTAGAGAACAGACAAGCCGACGTCGAGTTCAGAAAGAAATATAACGAAGCCAAAAACCAGCACGATATAAAAGTTAGTCACAGGGTAATGTCACAGCGCAATGACAGTCGGTCTTTTTGGACGCTGGCCAAGCAGATTGAGAAGAACTTCTCACACAGTAACCTTCCACCACTTACGTGGCAGGATGGAACGATTGTTTCCGACTCAAAAGCCAATGCGGAAGTGCTTGCCAAGATCTTTGCTGCCAACTCCACCAAGGACGTCCCCCCAAGGGCCCAAGTGCACACTATGCGGGAGGTAACATTCAGGCATAAGACCGTAAGACGAGTGCTCTTGTCGCTCGACATCAACAAAGTTTCTGGTCCAGATCTGATTCCTACCATTGTATTCAAGATGTGTGCAGCGAAGCTTGCTCCAGTTCTTTCGCGTCTCTTCCAGATATCTTATGAATCCGGCACCTTCCCAGAAAACTGTAAATTTGCTCATGTCCAACCCATCCCAAGAAAAGATCTAAGACCGACCCTTACAACTACAGGCCTATAGTTCGCTCTGCATTCTGTTATAAGTAAGGTGATGGAGAGGTGCATAAATAGCGAGCTTCTGGGCTACCTCGATTGTCACAGCTTGATTAGCGACAGGCAGTATGGTTCACGGCACCAGCGATCCACAGGGGGGCTCCTAGCTTACGTCACGCAGTTGTGGAGTAAACTCATCCAGTCTTATGGTGAGGCTCATGTCGTTGCTCTTGACATCATGAAAGCGTTCGATCAGCGGTGGCACGCTGCCCTCTTAAGCAAACTTCCATCGTATGGCCTCCCAGAAAAGCTTTGCAGATGGCGAACTGTATCTGTGGCCGCAAGATATCCGTCGTAATTGACGGGTTCTCCTCTTCATGCAACAACGTCAACGCGGGTGTTCCCCAGAGATTGGACTTAGCTTTGACACTGTTCCCTTATATATCAACGACCTTTTTTCCTGCACGATCAACCCAATACACAGCTTCGCTGATGACAGCACCCTACATGCAGGAATTGAGGGTGACAAGCCGATCTCTGCCGCTGAGCTGGAATAAAAATACTACCAACGACTTCCTCTCTGACGATAGACCTTGGGGGACGCAACAGTCTTGTACATTTTAATGCTTCCAAAACACAGTACTGAACCTTGAAGAACAAAAAGCTCCCTAGCGCTCATCCGGTTTCTATGGATGGTCTAGTTCTGCCAAAGAGTCATTCATTTCGGCTGGTCGGAGTCCAGATCACCGAGGACCAGATCTGTCACGAACACATCTCGTCAATAGCAGCAGCTGCTGGGGAAAAGCTAGGTTATTTGTTTAGGGCTAACAAGTACTTTCTCCGCATGCCTTCTCACTCTATAGATAGATAAGGCTTAGCCTCGAGTATTGCTCACACGTTTGGGGTGCTGCCGCCCCGACTACATTATATATGCTCGAAGCTGTCCAGGGGAGGGCTGTCTGACTGATCGGTGACTCTTCTCTAACAAACGGTCTCGGGACCTTTTTCGCACCGGGGGGCATCGGCGATCTAGCTCTCTTCTACCGCAACACCAACGGGCTTTGCTCCTCAGACCTCTCTTCCATGATGCCGCCGCGCGTTGTGCCTGCCAGACAGACCCACCTGACTTTGGCCTCCCATCCTAACCGTGTCAAACTTCGTACATCGAGAACTGGCCGATACGACCGCTTGTTTGTCCCGAGGGTGACGAGATTGTTGAACAATCTACAAGAGGAAGCTTTTCCCAGTTCTACAAACCTTAGGCAGTTCAAAAATCGGATTAACAAAATTTCTTTGGGATCATCATTGCAGCTGCGGGGTCCCGGCATTTAGGCTTTTGCCTGCGTGGCTGCTTCGGTGTATAAAAAAAACAACAAACGAATTTAATATAGAAAACTCTGGCAAATGAGCTTCACATCTGTTGGCAAAAGCAATAACATTTCTGTACATATGAAGTGGTCGAAGGTGTTAAAAATGTTGAATTTTTACTATGAATATTGGTACTTATCGATACATCATTAGCATTTGTTATTTCGAGCGTTTAAAGTCTATCCTTCAATATAACTAATCTAACTTTTCTCTTTTTTCGATCAGACCCGATTCTACGCACGAACCCCGTCCGAATTCACGACAGAAGCGGCGTTCAAGTCGTAGCCATGCCCAACAACCGACACAACCTACCGTATCGCCTCCTGCTGCCGAAGTACCCCTTACCGATCATTACCCGCATATCGATCCCACCTCCGAAACAGATCATCCCTGCCATACGGAAGTTAAACCTCACACAGACCATCATCTTCATGCTATCTCTGTCCCAACGTCAGACCACTCCCATGACGACACTGACCACCCGCTTAACGCATACTATGCCCATCACAACTCGGACCGCCCGCTTAACGCAACCACCGCCCCTGCCGCTGATCATGCTTCTCACGACGTGTACGAATTCACGGAAGATGAGGACAACGTGGAAGAAGACACACCCTGTTTGCGAAAGAAAAAGGAGGAGAATGGTGAAGATAGGGTGGGGATGTCCGAGGGAATGGAGGGGCAAAAAGAAGAAGACAGGACTGAAAATAGTGTGCGTGAGTGGAAGGAGCAGGAAGAGAACACGACCGCGTGGGTGAATAGGGAATGTGCAGCTAGAGAGAAGACGCCTGAGAGGAGCGGACGACTGAAATTGACGCTTAGGATGAAGAGGAGTCCGGTTTTAGACGAGGTAATTTTCAAGTTCACCAGCAAATTAGAGCCTCTTCTGGTCGAAAGTGCACAATAGTGACTAGAGCTGGATTGGTTCTGCATAGGTCGTTTGAAGAAATGATACCGCAGGTGGAATTGAGGGAATCGATTCCGATCACCTTGAGGAAATTGATCCCGGTGGTTTCGATTCCATACCCTGAAACCGTGTTCGATCATTGTGATACCAGCTCTTAAAATCGGGTTTTATTTGAACTGATTGAAAGGAGCGATTTAGCTCAGATGCGAATATCGCCATTACTGCAATATAGATCCTCGCACTAACGCTTTTAATTCCAGCAACTCCAAACAATCTACAAGGTAATACTTATGGTGTGGAGTTTGGAGTATGGACGATTTTTGAATTCAGGTCGGGTTGTTACTTTGAATTTATCGTCAAAGATGAAACAAAGAGAGTAAAGATAGTATTGAACACTCATACGCACTACAAAGAGTAGGTGAAAAAAGTTAGTTATATAAAAGAAATAATTTCATGCAACAAAGCGATCTCTAATGCAAACCCCAAAACCGAACAAGTCCCAAATTGTTTCAAGTTTAAATGTAAACCCAAGGGTTGCCCCAAAAATGTACACAATTTCCAACACGACGTCGGAAATTGTATAAAATTGTCAAAAGGCCAGAATCCACATAGCACTTGAGGAGGGGTACCAGTTAATATCCCTCAATATCCCTCCCAACCTGCTTTATGCTACAATCTCCGTGACCGTCCAATGGTAAAATCTACCCACAGCCCACAGGCATTTTGAGTCTTTAAAATCAGAAGCAATATCCTAATCGTAACAGAATGGCCTTTCAAATAGTTCGTTAAAATCAACCGGGTGGACTTTCATATGTGTTGTATCGAGATCATCACGTTAGGGTTTAGGAAGCGAGACAATCGGAATCGACAATATATTTCTACTGCGGTGTCGTTGTTTTGTAGCGCTGGCTAACAGTAATTGTATTTGGTTTTGGAATTTGGTACATTTTCTGTATTGTCCACAACATACTTAGTTAATATAATAATAATACCCTAAATGTACAACGCCTGATGCTTTGTTTGATTGTATATAGTTTTTAACATTGAATTGAGTGAGTGTGGATTCTATGTTATAGATTTGAGGCACTATACATACATAAGGTACAAACATATTGTTTTATATTCTGTAGCCACCAGGTGTACCTCAATTTTGTCACTAAGTATTACCAACTGACATGTTCCAGATTATTATCTTTTGAACTTTCTCTATCCATTGACAAACTAGGTACCGATTTGTGCATCTACACTATCTAAAAAATGTTTACATCTTTTTTTTTTCAGGTGATAGAGTCTGGTACCTCGATGAGTGAAGAATATTTCGAACCTGAATATGAAGTATTGAGGGTGGAAGGTGTAGATAGTTCTTCGTTTTCGCATCGTAAGAAGAGACACAAGTCTAAAGATAGGCGGAAAGATAGGAGGGCTAGACATACCGAGGAATGTGCAGAAGAAAAAGAAGAGGTATGTATATAACTAAATGTTGTATATTACAGAAAAGTGAATGCACCAATTATTACAATCAGAAACGATATATAATCATTAAGAATGCCCATACTTTTATCAGCTTTTAAATTTAGAATTTGAGGCTGAAACCGCATCACTTTTCATCATTGATTAAGCTTATAGAATTTGATTTCCTCTTGACTGTTCTATCTATGCCTGTGTTTACCAAAGAACCTTTGCAATTCCTCCCTCACCATTTCCTTCTTGATTCACAGGTTCCCCAATCCAATCGATGTTAAAAAGGCTGCTTTAGGTATATTTTATTTTTCATATTATACTGCAGTGAAATCAACATTAATTATAGTATATATATATATGATTATTAACGTTGATTTCATTTGTGCATCTCACAAACTCTGCAATCGAGCTGGCGAAGTTGTAATGTTTCGTAAGTTAGAATGGGTTTTCAAACGAGTTGAATATTGTGGTTGAATTCCACAAATTTCGTGAAAAACACATTATAGTTGCTACATGTAGCATATGTAAAACATAGTCTATGCGCCATCTCTCTGCAAAAGACGGTCTTACATTAAAAAAAATAGTTGAAATTGTACAAGTGGTTCATTAAGTGTCATATTGTCGTACATAGCTCATAATACTCCATTTTAAGCAAAAAATATTACAATTATTTTTTTATATTCAGATACCTCCAATAGTGCCGATGAAACGTCTTCGTTTGATATTCGGCAACGAGAGCCATACAATCGATATACCGTCCACAAGCAGTCATAGTCGAGGTCATACGTGATGAATTGACAACATTGGCTCGCAGAGAAGGTGGCTAGCCGACTGGTGGCTGATTGAATACGCAAGGCAGGTCTCAGCAATTCGTCTTGAGATTCTGCCATTAGGCTTGGGATATGGGAGGTACAGAAAAAGAGGGGCGATATCATGCTTAGTTTTCTTGAACTGTATAGTGTAACGCATTGAATGCAATACCTATAGCTCAATAATATCCTGCGTCAAAATATTCATGTGGGTGTCGGCCAAATCAACGAGTAATGGGTAATGGAACATCGAAACATCTATGGTATGGCAAATAAACGTGAATGACCTGGTACCCAAATGTTATTGTTCACAATCTGTCGGATATTTCTGCTAAGGCAGAGGATTTAATTATTGTCGTTCTAGAAAACAACCTGTTTACAAATATCAGAATTCTGTTTTGACCAGGAAGCCAGTGCATGGTTCTCTTACCTTTTGGGAAACCATATTCCTGGACGCTAATAGAATAGCTGCTCCCCGAATAATTCTCGGGAGGAAATGTGCAGAAATCTCGCCCTCGTCCATTAGTCTCGATTCTAAAGGGAGCTAACTTTGTTACCTGACAGAAAAGGTAAAAGAACAATTTCTACCAGCTGTTCTATTTCCCTCTTTTAAAAGAACTGGGTCCCTGAAGTCCAGCAGTTTTTGCCATGGTAGTAATCTAGTCAAAATTGTATCTTGTCCAATTATACTTTACAATTGATGTGCCCAAGGATTGTTGACAGTTTGATAAAATTATCATATCACTACTGGGCCAGTATGAAAAAGTATAAAGCTTTTTCGTCCTTGCCATAGAAGCACTACTGCCATAATGTCATTCACACCTTTTCGATCTATAGAGGGGCAAAGGATTACTGGACACTCACTTGAATAGACATGCCATTCATCTTCGTATTATGTATTTTAAAATGAGTTAAAACATCCAGAATAAAAAAAGCCTGGTATGTTTCACTTTCAGAGGCCTAAATCTTCATATACGAGAGAATATGTTGAAATTGTCCATACTTTGCGGGACAGTAGATGCACCTTAAATGAGACTTTGGCGCTAATGAAATTTGAAAAGTTTCTCAACGTGTAAGCTGTGTATACTCCAGAAAATAAGCATTTTTTTTTACAAAAAGTACAATACATTTTTTTATTGATATTGTTAGAATATTCTCGTCATTAGAGGGTTTAGTCATTGGCCGTTGTTTAAATAAACTATGGATGCTATGTGAAATAGTAATAGAAACAATTTTATAGGGAAATCAATTCTCTCATAATTTTTTTTTCAATAGACAACAATTTGCGAGAAGTTCGAGCATAATGCTGCACGTAATGCATGAAAAATGTAATATTTTCGGATGATTTCTAGTAATAGTTTATTGTTTTTTTTTACATATTTGCATAGAACTCGTCAAAAGTGAATATAAAATTTATAATATAAAAAACAAACAAACACAAATAATCTACAAACAATTAAACCTTACAAAACATAAAATTCCGAGACTGCGTAATAACAGGTTTTTTTTTACAAGAAAATACTTGTTTCATTTTGTAGAAGTTTATATCGTTGGCATTTCTTATGTCTACTAGTAGACTGTTGAAAATGTTTAGCCCTAAATACGTTGAAGACTTCCTCGATACATTGTATTTCACCAAAGGTACATATAATTTTATTTTGGTATAACTGTTTTAGTTTTAGAGCTAACGAAATAAACTACTTTACTACTTTATTAAGGAAATACGATTCTGATGGACGATTATTTACATAAGAAAAAGAATCGAGAATTTTCTAAAATGAAAATTCGAAAAAGGCTAAAAATATAAGTAGCTCCCTATTTTTCAACAAAGAAAAGCATTTTTGAATGCAAAGAATGCTTTTCAGAATGCAAAAAATGCATTTTTAGGTGAAAAAAAATCATTAATGACATACTGCGAACGCGGAGCACGAGTCATGGCATAAATTAATAGACACACATACATTTCTTAACACCTATTGATAAAGTGTATTTCAGAACAGTCCAAGATGTTCTGGCAAAGAACTTAAAAATAACAATTCGAATAAACGCTTGCTGGTTAAACGGCTTCGATTTTTTGTAGATGTCAAACTAGCTTTGGAAAAAAGTCTTTCACTTGGAACGGAAGTGGCCAGAAGTATTTTAATGACAATTTAGGTAAATTTGGATATACGCCCTTCATTTCTTCCCATAATTCCTAGGGATCATCTTTTTAATTGCCTCACTGGTACTCCCAAATACTGTGTTACTTCGTCAGTACCCACATTGGGGTACACTTTTCTTTTTTATGTGCGATTTCTTCTTGAGGTATGCCCGTAAATCAAAGGGAATCATCTTCTGACATTGCTACTTCAGATCGGGATTATTTTACTAACTGCAACCTTTTACACTCTTTGTTCTTTGTTTAATCTGTATAATGTTATTGCCTTGACCACTCTGGCAACAGTTATAGAAATTGTTGTCATTGCACAAAATCCAGTGAAGGTCCATGTAAGTCCATCAAAGAACCCTTTACTAGTTATGAATGATTTAATTAGTTCAGTTGTATCCTCAATAGCATACACACTTTTGGTGATGTCTAGTGCACCTAGGAAGTTGTACTCGAAATTTAAATTTATAGTTTTATTTAGGTATGGTATGAAGATGGTACAGTATCTCTCATTATCTAGTAAATTCAATCTATGTGGCTCACTGTTGCAGCTTAGGTAATTTGTATCAAATGTGCAGTTGGAAGTAAAGGTTACCAAACCTTCACTTTTGATATCAGACACATTAAACATTACATAAGGTTTGAGACTACAAGAAACGCAAGCAAATTGGCCTGGAACAATTTTAACCCTTTCAACATCAACATTTCCAATCATAAGTCCAACATTTCCCTTAACTTTGCTTCTAGCTTCTAGTATTTCTATGTTGCCAACCTTATACACCTCAGACACTTCTTGCCCTTTGGTCACTTGCTCCAAATGGTGTAATAATATTTTAATTTCTTTCAATTGATCCAGCTCATTCTGACTTGAGGCACCACCTTTAAAAATCTTTCAATCATATAGAATGTTGAATTCCATCGAGTTTTTATAAAAAATGAGTTTTTTAGATTTCATTCAAGTGTCCCTGCCTATTGTTGGGTAATAAATCAGTAGCTTTTACACTTCTTTTAAAATAAATGACAATGGATCTTGCTGTTTCAATTTAATTTAAACCTTCTGTATTTTTAATTTCATTCTCACACAGAATATTTAGGGTATTGTGCCAAGCACGAAATATATTTTTTTTCCAAATGTGTCTACAACAGCTTTGACAATATTTTAGTCTGTTATCACAGTTCACATTATCACTAGTTATACCCCATTCACTTAAACTACTAGCAAGCTGGGAGCCAATGTAAGCAGCTGTGTGTGCCTCATTTAATTGAGTAATCCCAGTTGTCTCCGAAGTCAATTTTAGTTTATGAATAAAATGAATTGTAATTTCCAGATAACTTTTTGTTTTTTTAAATCAGAAGTCCATATCTGTAAAATATTGTATGTTTGATAATATTTGCTTAAAGGTAGCAGAAACTGGATTATACTTTTCAGCCACTCTGTTCCTACTTGGAAGCCACCCTTTTTATGAGGTCCAAAAAGCCGTTTCCTTCCAACGTACTGAGGGGCACATTATCTTGCACAATAAAATTTACAGTGCCCTCTTGTTATTTTGACATCCACCATCTAAAAATAATATTTCGTTTTCATTTTTACTGATAGACTGTTTTAATATTGTTGTAAATCATCCATTTATAGTATATAGGTTAATTTAACAAAATCATATATTAAACATTTTTGCCGAACTTTACCTGAATAGGATGAGACGTTTTTCATCGAATTAATAATTGATGGCTGTTTTAAAAATGTCATAGCAGTCAAATTTGAGTGACGACTCTCCTCATTTATATTTGATATTGAAGATGTGGAGGCTTCTGAAGGTTCAATAGTCAAAGTTGGTGCATTTGACTGGGTGTCATCTTCCAAGGAAGTCTTTTTCTGAAATGAAAAGTATCAGTAGATGAAAATACATAAAAACCTAAAAAAACACACCTTGCTGGTTGTTACGTATAAGTATCACGACAGTAGCGCGGCATACTCCGAACGCTACGTACCTGTTAGCATACAAGATGATCTCACGTGGGGATGACTCCATAATCAATAACACCATTTTAAAGTGAATCATTTTTTACTTCCACGCGTATGTAAAATTAATATGGGCAATGTATGATGTCTTCATCATAAATATGCAAGTCACTCACTCCCATCAGTCTGGGTATTATCCAATTTGCCACTGCCTAACCTCAGCAACCTTTGCAACTATTTCAATGGAAGTGGAGTGATGCGATAAACCAGCATTATCTACAACTCGTCTTCACTAAAATTGGTACAAGGGTTGCAGAAATTATGCAGTGACAAAATCGACTGATGAAAGAAAGTGACTTGGTCTTCATAAAGGGTGTCTCATAAATATTTTCTTATTTTATGCCATAAATAAAAATACTTAGAATATTTTTACAAAGATAAATTTATTACCAAACGAAAGCCTAAACATTAATTTTATTTATGGAAAAGAGTATCGGATAAATGAGCACCGTTCATGTTTTCACACTCTCTTAATCTCGAACTGAAGTTTTCGATCACTCTCCGAAGCATTGCTCGAGGAATGGCGTTTATTTCATCTGTTATTTTTTGCTTCAACTCTCTCAAATCTTGTGGCGGTGGGGTGTATACCTTACTCTTCAGGTATCCCCATAAGAAAAAATCTGCTGGTGTCAAATCGGGACTTCTCGGTGGCCAGTTAATGTCTCCTCTGCGACTGATGACCCTCTCTGGGAATAACTGATGAAGAGCATCCAAGGATTCATTCGTGACATGAGAAGTCGCTCCATCTTGCTGGAAAAACGTGTTTCTATTGTAGCCACCATGGTTCTGTATAGCTGGAGTTAAAAAAGTCCTAATCATGTGGCAGTAGCGCTCAGATGTTACAGTTTGAGCTTGGCCACGATTGTCTTGAAAAAAATACGGGCCAATGATTCCTTGCCCTGACATAGCAGCCCAGACGATAACTTTAGGCGAGTGTAATGGCGTCTCATGAAGATTTTGCGGGTTCTGCTCGGCCCAATATCGGCAGTTTTGTTTATTAACATGCCCGTTAATGTGAAAATTCGATTCATCAGAAAACCATATGTTGTTGTAACCGTTAAAATGCTCTCTCATTGTTCTACAGAACTCTAATCGATTAGCGGGATCTTGTGGTTTTAATTGTTGTGTAACAACAATCTTGTATGGGTGAAAATGCAAATCCTTGCGAATAATGCGATGAACAGTTGACTTATGCAAAGTTAGAGACGCTCCACGCAGTCTTAATGATTGCCGGGGATCCTCGTTAACGGACTGGCGCACACGTTCAATATTTTCGTTCGATCTTGCTGACCTTGGCCGTCCAGGCGGTTTACTAATACACGTGTTTCCAGTGCTCTCGAACTTTCTTACCCAATATTTAATTAAATTTGCGCTTGGGACATCTCTCATTCTTGCTATGTTATAATGATTTCTGTACAAACGACGTACAAGCACATAAGAATCCTTGTTTTTATAGAACTCGCGAACACAAAAAGCACGTTGCGGCCCTGTAAAACGCTCCATTGCAACTAAAATTTAACAATGTTGCCAAACGTTTGTCAACTGTCTCGTTTCTCCGGAGCATGCGTATTCCGCCAGAGGACTGATCTAAAAACGAAAATATTTCTGAGACACCCTGTACTTTGCCGTGGCCGTAAAGGATGGATTCACTTTGAAACCAACAACCTATCGAAAAAACGTAAAAGGCTTTTTTGTGGTAAATGTTACTGCGAAAAAGATACTAGTTTTTATACGATTAGATTCTCAGATTTGCCATTATACGCGAACATATCATTACATGTAGCTTTATCCTTAAATTTCTCGTAGAGCGACTATACGGGAAAATTGTATAGAAACAAAACGTTAGAGAATATAATTCCCTACAAAATCGTTTCTTTCACTTCTTTACATAGGATCAATAGTTCTCAAATTATTTGATCAAACGCGTTTATCATGACACCAGTTTGAGCTCTTTGTTCGAAAGCAATATCCTAACGATGTCACCAAAAAAATTATTGTTCTATTAAACTTATGGTAAAAAATTGTTATACAAAACCTCCCTACTCCCTGGCCTAACAGTTTTGAGCATCAAGCAAGGTTTCAATCGGATTTAACTAAATATTTATAGAGCTCTGTCGGAAGTATCAATACGGTATTTTCAAAATGCATCACATATTTTTATGATAAATGTGTCAAGAAGCACTCTTTAGGACTCGCCCAGACAGACAAGCGTTCAGCGTTCAAGCCGCGTTCGTCCGGTCAATTCCTCTTACGAGTTCTAACACAGACAGGGGCAGTCACGAACACTGCTATCCATTTTACGAAGATTACTTGTAGGTGAAACATGTATTTCGATAGTCCATCTTCAGAAGACGAAGCATTGCTTTTGTGGAGTTTCGAAGAGTCTAATAAGAAAAAAAGATACTGAGTTCATCCGATTAATTGTGAGAGACATGAAAAAGGAGAGTTTAGTGTTCTTTTTCCTACATTGCTTGAAGATGAAGAACGATTTTTTATTTACTTCCGAATGTCATTAGGTAATTTTAATGAATTGCATGATTATATAAAAAAGGAAATAGAGAAACAAGACACCAACTGGAGAAGGCTATATCTACAAAAGAAAGATTGGCACTATGTTCCCATTTCCGTGGCTATTTCAAGCATGATGCATTTTTTTAAACTATTTTCATGGTCTGCGTTACTAAGATCATATAAAAAACGCCTTTCCCTTATTAAATCAATTAATTTTTCTATTGAAGTCATCTTCCGAACGAGGCGTTCCACGAGTTCTCTATATTTCTGACAAAAGAACGCAAGAACGCGAGCGTTCACACTGACCGGCGCGGTCTAACTGCCGCTGTGTCTGCGCGACTCTATAGAGATCTATTAGTTACAAAGAACGTGTAACGCGGAACTCGGAAAGCTTTCTGTCTGAGCGAGCCCTTAAGTTTCATCAATTGAAAATACCATATCATTTTAGGAGGATGATCAGGTAGACACATTTCAAAAACATTCGCATTCACTGATTTATTATGTATAGAATAAATCGTATCGAAGAAAATATGGAATGTCTAACTAGCAAAATTAGCGCAATCATCATACATCAAAATGTTACTATTTCTTCGATATGGTTGCAGCTTAGTTTAGTATTGCTAATTTAACTGCCATTAGTTAAATGGTTTGACATTGATGGTGGAGATGCATGGAAATGTGATAATCGTTGAACTTTTCTACATGATGTATTAAATTGTAGATATTGCCATCTTACTCATGTAATTCTATTTACTATTTGTTCACTCTTTGTTTTGATGAGTTAACAAAATATATTTTTCATCTGTCATTACTATCATAGCTTCGCTATTCCACCAAACAGTTAGTTCCTTTATCGCACTTAAAATTTCGATACATTCCGACAGGATCATTATTCATTTTGCTTTGTTCCAATTATAAATGTTGATCGTGGTCAAACAGAGTTTTTTCATTGTAGCTTGCAGAGCACTTGTACATCTATAATTTTATTTTGACGATCACTTAACCCTTTTTAATACAAATATTATTTGAAATATGTTGGACCTCTTTAGGTGTTCTTTATGACAAAGACTGTATAATGTAATTTGTTTAATATTTCTAGAACTAGTGCTACCTTTTGGCATCGATTAACATCTTATTTTAGGAGGATCACCTAGCGATGAATGAATACAATTTTTGTGCACCCCTTTCAGTTCCACATCTTTATCGTATCGTACTCGTCGCATTTACTACTCTCTATACAGGGTGATAAAAAATGGCAATATTTCAGAGGCAGAATGAAAGTCCAAAGATAACACGAAAATGTCATATAAACATGGGTCCTAAGTTATCCCCTTACCAAGATACAGGGTGTTGAAGCCATAATTTCAAAATAACGAAAAAAATATCTCCGAAGTTACAGGAAAAGTCCTAAATTTATGAACATACATAAGTAGTACAAAAAATGTGCGGTTCTAACTGCACCTGTTGTGAAGAAACTGATTTATGTTTAACTCTACAGAAAAGATATATTGTCTAGACTTTTCTGAGACATCTATTGCGTTTTTAGATAAGGTACATAGTAAACATAAGTTGTCTTAAGAATTTTTATCAGATGTATGCGAAATTAACTCCGTGTAAAAAACTTGAACTCGATGTACTTTAAAAGTATAGTAGAGTAAATGCATGTAATTTAGTATACAATATTCTAAAAAAATAATCACCAGGGGTGAGTGAAATCTGCATATACAGTTAGTGGAACTAGTGTATTAATAGACCTGGGCGAATTTTCTTTTTCTTCTAGAATATAAACTCCAGTTACGTGTGAATTTGTTAAATGAATTAATTTCTATAGAGCTTTTTGTGAAACAGATGTTTTGTCTATTGAAGACACAAGTGGATAAAGGTGTCATGTAACAAAATCATTCTATAGAGAAAATTTACTTTAAACATTTTCTTTTGGAACTCTTTAATTTATTGAAATTTTGAATATTTAGTTTGTTAAGGATTGTCATAACTTTTTTGGGGTATTATTACAATTTTTGTGGACATGTAATTTAGACTGGAAAATGTGATTTCAATATACGTGACACCCTTATCTACGGAAAACTGCAATGAACATATTGGGACATTTAATAGGAAGAAGGCGCAATGTATCAAAATATTTATTTTAATTCAGTAAACAAAATACATATAATAATAATTATTGCTCCTTATAATAGTTTTACCTTTTTTTAGGATTTTCATCATTCTCTTCTAAGACAGTCTCATAAAACCACTTATATTCGTCCTTCATAAACAGAAGTTGTTCACGCAAGATCGACAATTTGTCAGATGTGATTCCATCTCTTTTCTTCTGTATTCCATCAACTTTAATATTGTCTTTAACCTCTGTCCTGCTTCCTTTCTTCAGTAGATCAACTTTGAGAAAAGGTGCCTTCTCGTCGAGACTTTATAAAGGTAGTTGCCAAACTGATCAACTCTGATCCACTTAATATTATCCCTAAAGTTAACTTTCTCATTTAACTCATTCTTTTTTTTATTGTAAAGATTCAACTTCGTAGGTAGTATATCAAAGTCTAAGAAATAATTTTCCATATTCATAGATACAGAATTTCTAGCACTTGCAGACTTATCTCTATACTGGTCTGGAACGTAGATACTCTCACATTTCCTTAGTTTCTTTCCAGTTCTTCCAATATTTCTATCGGAGTCCAAGTAAGTGTGGACTACGTCTGGGTACTTACGGTCAATACGTTTAATAATAGCTGAAATAGACAGATAATCGTCAAATTTTTATTTTGGCTGGTACAGGAACCCGACCAAGTGATGAGATAGATGGTCAATTTGATAGTCATTTTTGAGTTGACAGTTAACAAAATCTAAACAAACAACTTGCTACCTCCAGACTTCCGCTGTTTGTCACATCCTCAGTCCAATTGAAAAAAAAATGGTTTGGTCCATGTTACTTTGACACCTTTATCCATAGAAAAACATCAAATTGCGATACATAAACCTTCATCCATTAAAAATATCTGCTATTTATCTTGTTTTTGCAACAAAGTAATCACAGAAAGAAAGAATCACACCTTAACACGCTGCCTGCCGTCTCGGTCAATATGATCGAGAAAACTACTTCGCTCCAAGCGCGGTCCATATCACCGAGAAAATTTGTTTTTACCACACGCCGTCTCGGTCAATATGACCGATGCAGTTTGTCGCGATTCACGGGCCAGACGCTCGGCATCTTATGGTTCTAACTATGCAAAGTGACCGGGGCGCCCTGAAAGAAACCCCGCGCACCGCCAGTTTCTTGCGTACAAATTTAACTTCAGAGAAACTGCAAATAAAATGTGTACAACATATTATAAATAAAAATGAAGACTTTTTACGTTTAAAGGCATTCAGCCCACCCCCAAAAAAAAAATATATCCGCAAGGTGGCAGTACAATGACGAAATTCATGATTAAATCGAATGCCTGGCCCACTGGGCTCTGAAGACGCCTACCCATCGCCGTGTGATTACACAACGTTGCCAGAACGACGCACCGACCTAGTATGTATATAAGATACTTTGAAAAAATAGACATCATAGGTAGTATAAGTTTATTCACATATATACAGTTTCAGTGGACCCAACAATCCAAATGCATACATATAGACAAATAAACTTCTAAATCCCACTTAAGTATATATACCTGCTAGATACAGATATGAGCATCCCTACTAATATTAAAAATGTGTGTATGTTTGTGTATTTGTATGTTCCGTTTTCACGCCAAAACGGCTGAACCAATTCCGATGCATTTTGGAACAGATATAGATTAGACCTTGGAGGCGAAGGGGTTGAAATGGGGGTAAATGTGACCATGTGCATCAAGAAACTATTATTATTTTAGTTCGTGATATAAATATTGGTTTTTATATACAGGGTGACTTTGAAGTTGAGTCATTAATTTTCAGATAATGATTGTAGAAGGAAGATAAACCAAAATATGTGTGTAAAAATAAAAAAAAATTAAAAAAAAAATGTTACCTTGTTTTATAAAGTATCCTCCCGACAAGTATTTCAGTGCGGACCTGTGCGCCCAAAAGCATGTCACAAAAACTGTTCGAAATGATTTCCGTTTTGCTCGACGCACAGCTGGGCGCGTCTTAGCCATGTCTCTTTACAAGCACGCAATAAAATCACTGGTTGATTTCTGATCACTGTACTCATTTCCTCAATTCGAGCACGTAATTCTTCGCGTGTATTAACCGGTGTTTTATACACTAGAGTTTTTAGCCAACCCCACAAACAAAAGTCTAAAGGATTTAAGTCCGGAGACCTTGGCGGCCAAGGTACAAAACCGCCACGGCCGATCCAACGATTATTAAATTGTCTATTTAAAAATTCACGCACATTTCTTCCATAATGGGGTGGTGCCCCATCTTGTAAAAACCACATGTTTTGTCTAATATTTAAAGGCACATCTTCCAGTAAACCAGGCAAATTGCGTTGCAAGAAATCAAAATAATTTTCACCAGTTAAGCGATTTGGTAATTCAAAAGGCCCCACTAAAATTCCATTAACAATTCCCGCCCACAGGTTGATTGGTTCAAATCGCTGTTGAAAATTGGTTTCCCTTATTTCATGGGGATTTTCAATAGCCCAAACGTGAGAATTACGTGAATTAATAATTCCGTTTATAGTAAAGAGGGCTTCATCACTCACTAAAATTTGATTTAAAAAATTGTCATCATTTTGATGTTTATTTAAAAGCCAATTGCTAAAGTCAACCCTTTGTTCATGATCTTCCGGTTGTAAGGCCTGCACTTTTTGTATGTGAAACGGATAGAACTGATTTTCACGTAGAGTTTTCCAAGTTTTATACTGACTAATCGCCAATTGAGTTGAAATTTGTCGGGTGCTTACTGTTGGATCATCACTTACTAATTCTAAAATTTGTTCTTCTAGTTCTATTTGATCGTGTGGTCTTGGAGCACCGGCATGATCTCCTCTGTGAGGTCTTAAGTCACCTGATTCACGAGCTCTTTGCACTACATTAACAAAGGCACGAGGGGTTGGTTGCACTCGATTGGGAAACCGATCCGCATAGATCCGTGATGCCGCGGCAGCATTTTGTAAAGACTCCCCGTAAATAAGAACCATGTCCACAAGTTCAGCATTTTCGTAAACATGTGCCATTTTTGATTTGAGCCTCGCAACAGACACGATTATTCACTTACGCGTTACCGACTACCGACTGATACTGACTGTATACAACTGAAGAAAATAATTGTAAAAAGATCGTTCCAAATTCTTTCGCTTTTTTGTTTCCGATGCGATGAACGGATAAGGCGGATTATATCTGTTGTTGCCAAACACGAGAACATAATATCATTATTGAGACAGGGCGGTACTCAAACTTCCAAAGGGCTATAACTTTGTTACTTTAATTTTACCAGAAAAATGGTAAAGGAAAAAAACATTTCTTTTGATCAGATCTACTCACTGTTAAAATAAATGACTCAACTTCGAAGTCACCCTGTATATTTGGTTCATACATATAAATTAAATGAGCACTCACAAAGCAATTTTGGAAATTCCACCCCCAAGCAAGGGTTGAAGCGAGGTAACGCCGTTTGTACTGAGGAACCTAAGCTATTTCAAATAGCCCAGAAGTAGGGGGTATCTTTTGTTTATAATTTTATCTATAAAATAAACTGACATTAACAAAGGGTTCCATAAATGATATCCTCCAGATGGGGAAGGGAGGGGGGTGAATATTTCTTATCAGCTTTTTGATTTCTTGTCACCGTTTTGATAAATTTATCTCGAGAACTAAGACATACATATGATTATAATATATATTTTCAAAGAATTTCAAAATTTCAGAATTTTAAAAATTTTTAGAATCTTCAAAATTTAAAAAATTTGTAAGATTCTCAAAATTTTACAAATTTAAAACCTCAAAATCTTAAAAATTTTCATGATTTTAACGAAAGTTTAGAAATTTTCAAAATTTTTTCGATTTATAAAATGATCTGAATTATTATGATTTTCAAAATATTGAAAAATTTTAAAACCTTCAAAATCTTGAAAATTTTCTAAATATTCGAAATCTACAAGATTTTCAAATTTTTCAGAATTTATGTTGAATTTTCACACTATGCAATTTTGAAAATTTTCGAAATTTTCTAAATTTTTCAAATTTTCAAAATTTATAAAATCCTGAATATTTTCAAATTTACAGAATTTCTATATTTTTCAATAAATTCATAATCTTCAAAATTCTCGGAATATCCACAATTAATAAAATATTCACAACTTATAAAATTTTCACAATTGTCAAATTTCACAATTTTTAAAATCTTAATAATATTCAAAAATTTAAGAATGATTGGAACTTTTAAAATTTTCAAAATATTAGAAATTTATTGACGAAATGTATATTCGATCTGAGCATGAGCTTTGAAATAAAGGTGGACATAACAATGACAATAATAAAATACAAATCAACTATAATGTACTAACTACCGGTTGTTTTGTACCTTTTTATTTATTTTAATCGGTTTGCTTGTACTTTCTCGGACTTGCATACCGCGAGGAATTCTGCCGTCTAAGATTTCGGGCAAAATACACTCTTTATAAAAAGATGTTAATTTGGGAACCATTACCTCACACCATAGTTGTCCGTCCTTATGTTACGTGGAAATCTGAATCGCAATAGAGAATAAAATCGCAAAAGGTGCGTCCCGTAATATTCAGCTGCCCTTGAACCTGGTAATAATAATTATGGTTTCTTTTCAGGGATACATTGCCATTTTCTACCGAGTAGCATGAGGTTCTTTTCACGCCATCGATTAGAGATCCCATAATTGAAGGCAGACACTTTATCTCTATGAGGCCTTCCCTGCCGACGAAACCATCCGGTGAAGCTGCTGACTCACATAAAGTCCGCACGCTTCAACGGATGATCCCGTTTCCGTTTCATACCTATTCCTGGCTGTAACCTCATGTACCCTGCCATACACAATTGCTGGCGTTTTCAAGCTATCAGTCCTATATAATAAGTTTTTGACTAAGTTGTGGCAGGGAGTAGACGCTCTTCTTTTAATTACACAGCCGAAATTTGATGCAGTCAAATATTCTTTGCGTAGACTCCTCCACAAAGCATTTTCATGCTGACCCCTTGTGGAGGTTTCTATTTCTTTAGTCTGCTCCCTTGACTCTACTCGCTTGGCTAGAGTCTGCAGAAACTTATCTTTCTTCTTTTCCATCTCGTCCTCGCTGATATCCTCGGCAGCTGCATTAGGACCGTAATGCACGTCCGGCCCACTAGAAGCTTGCTTTTTTGGTCTTTTCTTGCAGACTACTCTACTCCTTTCCAGCGCCCTTGCTCTTTTCAGACAGACTTTGGCCATGGTGGCTCCTATGGAGAAGTTCTTCTTCTCGAAATCCCCCATGTGCCACCCTGGACCTCTGGAATGTGATATAGCTGCTGCGTAGGCTCTAGCTGTGCAGGAATTCCTTTTCGTGAAATTGACTCGCTTACCCCCCTTACATTTACCAACTAGAGACATATATCTGCAAATTAAAAACACGGTTCATTAGTTTTTACTATATTTAACTCTTTTAAGTCAAGTTCCAGACTGGAACGCAGCAGCAATAAATCAGTGGCAGTGAATATTATGCTACTTTCTTCCAAGTTGGCTACTGCACCGTGTTATTTATGAGATTTCTGGCAATTATTTCAGTTTCATTGATTGAGAATTGGTTATAAGTTTCAAAGACCTGAAAATGGCAGTTTTAGATAATATTCAATTCAACTTTTGAGTAGTGCATATCATTGTAAATTAATTCATCGAAAGATGAGCTGATATCAAGAAACGCGTATACCACCTTGTGGTTATCAAGGAGAAGTGATAAATGTGTAGCAAAAAGTATGAGATAAGCGTGATTTTTTTGCCTTTCAGTTTGATTTGTTGTTTGATTGTGTGCCAGTCGATCAGCTTTCGTCACGATGGGCTCCAGGATCTTTTTTAATTCAAAATGGAGTTTATCTCCCATAAATTGAACTTGATCGACCTCATTTTTTTTGTCGCAGAACGTACCACTATAAAGGAATAAAAACGCATTAGATAGGCATTAATACATCAAGCTACGAAATGGATGGTTTTGGGCACGAAACGTATGAGATACAGATTAGTGAAATAAGACATAAGGTGCCAAAGTGACATCATTACATAATGTGGTTAAATATAGTCATGTCTCTATTGACTTTTTTTTTGTTAAAAATGAGCTTAAAACTGTTTTGGTCTCCGCAAACACAACACTTCAATATATAAGCTACATGTTTGCACAATAACTGAATTAAAATAGAAATAGAATATTAGAGAATTACAGTTTGTGAAATAACAGAATTTTCCGAAATATAACTCCTTTCCGACTGCCTTATCAGCAATTTTATTTATATTATTAAATGTCTGCCGTTCATGTTTGAAGTCATAATTTTTATACAGTACACTACCCCAAAATCTCCGATAGTGTGTTCCAACTATATTTCACTTCTCACGCCACTGGCGAAAAAGTATTGTAATGGAATGTGTGTCCCATAATGCGTTTTTAAGAGACGCTCGTTACTCTGAAACCTTCTGGTTTAAATATTTATCAAAGGCAGTGACTTTGAGAGTATTGTTTTATTGTCTACTTTGATACAACGTCCAACAAATTCGCTAGAATATAGGATTTATATTATAGGATTTCAGTCCGCACCATGGCGACGTTTTTTGTTATAACAGCCAATGCACAGGTGTGGCTCTCCTTCACATCCTGTAAAGTAAGTTCTAATCTGTTTCAAGTTCCTCGTTTCACGCCAGCCATGATTTGCTTTTGAGGTCTCGTAACATACCTGACACGGTTTGCGCGTTTTTTAAACTCTTTTTCCGCTAGTTCATGATGTGAACGACGATGTCTTCTTAAGGCAATAAGTTCAACTTCTTCTGCTGGAGCAGGGCGCGGATTGAATAAAGCATAAGCAACTGACTTACGAAATTCAAGGATGCCTCTATCCTCACGTTTGACTTCCTTGTACATCAACCATTGACCATAGCGGTATTCAGCATTATCTCAAATGCTACTTTTTGATACCACTTTATAGTTTTTCTAAGTGGTGATTGGTATGCTTTCATTTGATCTAACTGATCAACCGGCGATTTCCCTTGATTGTAGGTAAGTATGATATCCGGTTTTTTCTTTACTTGTCCCCGACGATTTAACACTTCACTTTGAGAATCTGAGTGCTTTGTAGAGATCATCACAACGTACCGTTTATCTCTCCAGGTAGTAACAGTTATTTCCTTACGATTCTCTTTTGCAATATATTCTCCAGGCTTAAGTTTTTTTCTTGGATGACTTTGCGAGAATTTCCTTTATACTGTTCTTCCTCAAGGTACCAATTAGCTGTGTTTGTCTATCTAGCAACTGTTCCGCCAGTGATAAACTGGTGTACCAATTGTCTGTAACCATGGTTCTTCCGAAATGTTTTGGTCAAGATTCTTGCCGGCATGAATTTCTATGCTAAAAGTATAACCTTCTTTACAACAGAGTTTAAATATTTTCATGCCATACTTGTGTCGCTTTCCTTTTAGATATTGGCGCATAACGACCCGGCCACGAAACGGTATTAACGATCCATCGATGCATATTGTTTCGCCAGGATCGAATGCCGTCTGGAAATTATGAACTCACCTTTTCGACCTAATTCTGGATTTTGTGAAGTCTGTTATTTTGGTGATTGTTTTCATTGTCCGTGAAGTGAACCATTTTCAGAAGTAGTTAGAACCTATTCCGAGACATTGCTGTAGAGGCAAATTGGTTCACGAACATTGCTTCTTTGCTCCAATAATAATCAGTACCTTTTTGTAGATGAACTATACCAATATAAAAAATCAAGCCAAAAAACCGCTTCATCTCGTACATATCTATCTGTGAGAGACTAATCGTGCATTCTGGAGTGAGATGTTACATAGTTCTCATTCATAATGGTTTGTGTGGCGTATAAATTAGTCTGTTCGACAATATACTCAAAAAGGTTACTATCGACCAGAGCAGAATATAACCTAAAACATTCCTTCCGAATTAGGAGCTTGGACAGGTTTTTATTGATTCCGGATTCTTTATTGAATGGTATAAGAACGGGTATTTTCAATTCTGGGCCGTCAATGTTTCGGCGCGCAATTGGAGTTCCTTCATCTTCAGAAGATATTTCTGTTAGTTTCTGTTTCGTTTAGCTCAAATTCTTCTAAAGGGTGTTCAGATAAGGACGCTCGAAAGTTAAAATGGAAAAAAAAGGAAAAAAATTTAAGTCAGCACTAAAAGTCTATATTGATCGTAAATAGCATTCGACGACATTATGTATGGAAGATTATATCGTTTAAATGGCCACCGCGACTGCGCTGTACAGCGTGCATTCGCATGGTCCAATTTTCGAGCACCTTTCCGCACATTTCAGCGTCTACCTGTCCGAGGACGCGAATGATGTTGGCCCTTAATGCTGCAATTGTTTGTGGCTTATCCTCGTACACTTGAGACTTCACGTAGCCCCACAGGAAAAACTCTAAAGGCGTTATATCGCACGATCTTGGTGGCCAGTGCACATCGCCGCCGCGCGAAATAATGAAACCGTTGAACTTTTCATGCAGTAAATCCAGCGTTGCGCGTGCGGTGTGGCACGTAGCGTCGTCCTGCTGGAACCAGATGTCTGTTAGATCCATATCGTCCAGTTGAGGCCACAGGAAATCATTAATCATGGCGCGATACCGATCTCCATTGACCGTAAGCGGATTACGCCGCCAGCCCAGAAACCGCACCATACAGTCACTTTAGCAGGATGCATAGCAATTGAGCAAGTCACTTCAGGATTTTGGTCAGCCCATATACGGCAATTCTGTTTATTGACATACCCATTCATCCAGAAATGCGCCTCGTCGCTGAAGATGATTTTTCGTGTAAATGCAGGATCGACTTGCAACTGCTCTAGAGCCCATGCGGCAAATGTACGGCGCTGTCCATGGTCTTGCGGTTTCAATTCTTGCGTCAATTGAATTTTGTACGCGTGCAATTTCAAGTCTCGACGCATAATTGTCCATGTTGAGGTCTTTGGAAGGGCAAGTTCTTGTGCACGTCGCCGCAATGTTCTTACTGTTCGTTGCCGCACGGGTGTTGTTTGGTCTGCCACTGAGCCAGTTCTCTCAAATTTATTGAGCAGACGTCGAATAGTGGACTCAGCAGGACGGCCATGCGCACCATAAATTGGACGCAATGCGCGGAACGTTTCACGAACCGAACATCTGTTTTGATGATAAATTTTCACAATTTCCACGCGTTGTTGAATCGTGTACTGCTCCATGATTAAATGTCAAGACTAACTTAATAACCTCACAAAATTTGACAGCTGTATCCCCATCGGTTTGGGCGCGCGCGCCGTTCAAACATCGAGCGTCCCTATCTGAACACCCTTTATTTCAATTTGCCCAGGGGCTGTATTTATTTCGTCGTCACTAGAATGTGTTGCCGGTTGCTCATTGTTTTCGGAGGAACATTAATCTTTGATGCCGAAATCTATTTTGAGAAAATATACCTGCTAAAACAACCGTGTTTTATTTTGGTATAATAAAATAACAGAATCATTGTTCAATATATCCAAGATCTTCTGCTCGGTTGGTACAAATTTAATTTCTGAATTTTGATTCCGCAACATGGTTTTGTTGTCACAACATGTAAAACATGCACTGAGCACGAGCTGTCAACTGTTTCTGCGCCTGGGCCGAGCAGTTGACGCGCTGGCGTGGAACATTTACTTACTTACACACAGGGCCGGCTCGGTCAATATGACCGAGATACATTTACACGATTTTCTTGGCAAAGGTGATAAATAATTAAAAATTTATTTTGCAAGAGTTCCTAAATCGTAGATATATATATTTGCGCATCATGGCCTAGAAATGAAAATTTTGACTCCACGTTGAATATGCATCTCGGCCCGAATGTAAAATATCATAAAATCAGCTCTGGCAATCAACGTGTTTGTTAGTTTAATGCAAAAAAGCATTTTCTTTTTAAAATGTTACATGTCACCGTTATCTACTTGTGTCTTCAATTGTTACATTCGATTGGTTTTGACTTATTCGTTGAAATTTGGATGGCGATAGATTTGGCGTCGCAATTCTAACATGTTGACAATTTATGCTGATTTTGATGCCGGTACCGATTGACCTGCTGGTTCACTGTATTTGGTTGTTCTTTTTTATTTATTTAAATATCACAAAGGCTTTCTGGCTGTATAATGGATGGTGACAGATTTGCCGTTTCAGTTCTGTCCTGTTCACAATTTGCGCGGAGACGACGTGGTTCTATTATTGGGTTAGATTTATCTGGTTCTTCACTGATGTTTGATTGACCCTGTTCCACATTATGCAAGATAGTCTCATTCCGTGAAGACGTATCTA